CTACATTTTGGGGAAGAGAGAGAAAAAAAATTGGTGTTGTTTTCTGTTGATTTTTCCCCCCTTCAACATCAGTGATTCTGCGGCTTTTAAATGTGAAGTGGACTGTTTATCTGAAAGTGTGCTGGCAGACTGCCACCATATTTCTAAGATTAAAGAAAGGATTGAAAACAATCAGCTTTCCGAGGAACTGAAACCATGACAATATGTTTCTGATTAATTTACAAATATATGTATATATTTAAGGCTAACCTACAGAACCAGAAAATTCCTACTAGTTAGTCTATCACAGGCATTCTTACACTTTATTAGAACAGACATCATATTGAAATAATAAGCATGGGAGGCCTTCATTTCTTCTTTGATCTATATTACTAAATGTCTGACTGGCTCAGATTTAAAATAAACTTTGATATGCTTGCACTTGAAAACTAGAAAAAGACCACAAATAATAATTTGTTGTCAGTTTCCATATTCTTTAACTAAAAGCTATAGTTTAGTCTGTACACTACTGGATGCCAGGAGATGTTACTTCAGTCACACCTGCAGTGGCTAAACTTTCTGGTAGGAATATACCCTCTAGTATGGTTGCAATGATGATAGATCACTTCATCATCATGGAACTAGCTGAGATGAATTAAAGGTACAGGTCACAGCTTTACCTGCTTTGCAAATCTCTTGCAGGTGAATGTCATTATAGCCTTAAAAACACAGATATGTACTGAAGAAGAGTGCCATAGTGCTCCTTTTGCTCTGAACATCTAAGGGTTGTGATTTCATGACCCAAACCCTGCCAAATGCATTGCAAATGTGTAGGCAAGATTTTGAGCTGTTTAATGATGGCTTTTCAGTGCTGTCCTGTGTGATTTAAAGGTATTTTTTTCTGTGAAAATGTGGTCAATTTGCTTTGAATAAATTAAAAGATAATAAACAGCTGTCTTTATGTGCCATCCATGCCCAGCATAGTTGGATTTGGTTTTAGACTTGGGAGTATATATAGAGAGAGATAATAATTTTACTTAGACTGAGGTACAGGTTATAGAATTTCATATAAGATTAGGTTATTTTCTTATTTAGAAAGCTAAATTCAGAGGAAGGAACACAGATGGGAGTTTCTAATCAGGAGGTGAAAGAATCTAAATCATTCACCCTTAAAAAGCATAAAGAGTACAAAATGCTAGAGATTGTTTCAAAAGGCAGTATTAAACAATACACTGACATCCTTTAACTTTTCTTAGCCTACTAAAAGCATTCCTTAATTGTCTGTTTAAATGTGAACCTCAGTGAAAAAATGAGTTAACACCCATAAAAAAGGACAGAGCTTTGAAAATCTTACCGCCTCTAAAAATTCCCATTCTACTGAGTATATATCATCACTTTGTCACAAAGGTAACCATGGGTATCTCATGAACTCTTCGGCGCTACTGGTGGTCAAATAGCAGCGCCGCAAAACACCTAGTGCTCTATTTACAGATGATAAGGCCTTGCTTCAGACACAAGGCTGAGCTCCAAAATGGGTGCATTTCTGATTCTATATGATGACTGCAACTCATTTAAGAAGGAGAGAAACCACTTACATTTCAGAAGTTTCAACGTTCAACAGCAACAGAAAGTGCTATGAACACATTCCCCTGACAGACTATGCATTGGTGGAATTCCATTTAAATCATGGTCCTAGTTACCTAAGATGTCGTGCATCTCATCACATCAAAATCTTCTCGATCTCTTAAATGTGTAATGCCACTCTAAACGGTGAAGGAGAAGGGGGACCTTCACATACAGAAATTCAGAACCAAGATTGCTTTTAGAAAAGGTTGAGGGTATCTCCTGAACCAAACGCTTTTCAAATTTAATTAAAGCTTGGCTGTTTGATCTAGTTTTCTTAGAATAAATATTCTTCTCTGTTATGCGCATACATGCTGCCAGACACATTGAAATGGTTCTGAAGCACTGATGCCTACATTCTGAGCAGAAAGGTGGTTGTTATATCTCTGTTAATGTCCAGAGAAGACCACCCATATAAAAATGGTGAGCACATAGTAAAGCACCTGGACAGACTGACTGAGCTGGAGAATCAGAGTTGTTGTGGATGATCTAACACCAAACACACCAGCACTTGGTAGTCCTGAGCCTTCCCTATCAGTAAAAGATAGCCATAATTTACTACTGGATAGTGTAAAGCTGATTTGAGCCATATTCTGCTAGTTGAACTAAAGCAAGGAGAAATTAAAAAACAAAACTAGAATAGATATGGAACACGGGCCTAAACACTGTCTCTACGATATTCTTGACTCTTACTGGTCTGATGAACAAAGGACTAGGAGGATCCACTTTTCTGTGTTTTGCCACTTTTAAGACATCAGGTAACACATTCAAAGAGACAAGCTGATGTGCTAAGGAAGTTCAATATACATAAGAGGGTTGCTGATGACATATGGCTGCTTTTAGACACAACAAAAAAGAAAGATGACCAGATGTGTGGTTTGCAGGATGAAAGCTTGAGAAGCTCATTTACAGAAAAAAAATAGATGTTCTAAGGAATGGAAGA